GCGATACTTCGCTTGGTGAGGGAACACCAAAGGACAGGGGCAGGTAGAGGACACGTGATTTCAGTGGGCTTGCTCCTGGGCATGCCAACTAACGGTTGTGTGTCTGACGTACCCACCGACCGTTGGCTGTAGGTGTCAGAGGTGACCTGGGAAGAGGAAGACGACCGAGCCAACCAATCGATGACGGCAGGGTTGTCGGTGGAGACACGACCGCTGGATGACACCTGGGAGCACTGGCCTCTGGCTGCGACTAGTGCTGCCTCGACCCCTTCCTCTGCTGCCACGTCTGCTCGCTCCTAAAACATTGCCTCCTCTGCCACTCCTCTGCGTGTTGTCTGACATACTCTTTAATTCAACGATTCTGTGTCCCTGAGTAACAATTCTGTGTCCCTGAGTAACAATTCTGTGTCCCCAGTAACAATTCTGTGTCCCTCAGTAACAATTCTGTGTCCCTCAGTAACAATTTCTGTGTCCCCTGAGTAACAATTCTGTGTCCCTCAGTAACAATTCTGTGTCCCTCAGTAACAATTCTGTGTCCCTCAGTAACAATTCTGTCCCTGAGTAACAATTCTGTGTCCCTCAGTAACAATTCTGTGTCCCTGAGTAACAATTCTGTGTCCCTGAGTAACAATTCTGTGTCCCTGTAACAATTCTGTGTCCCTCAGTAACAATTCTGTGTCCCTCAGTAACAATTCTGTGTCCCTCAGTAACAATTCTGTGTCTGTCCCTGAGTAACAATTCTGTGTCCCTGAGTAACAATTCTGTGTCCCTGAGTAACAATTCTGTGTCCCTTCTGTGTCCCTAAACAATTCTGTGTCCCTGAGTAACAATTCTGTGTCCCTGAGTAACAATTCTGTGTCCCTGAGTAACAATTCTGTGTCCCTGAGTAACAATTCTGTGTCCCTCAGTAACAATTCTGTGTCCCTCAGTAACAATTCTGTGTCTGTCCCTGAGTAACAATTCTGTGTCCCTGAGTAACAATTCTGTGTCCCTCAGTAACAATTCTGTGTCCCTGAGTAACAATTCTGTGTCCCTCAGTAACAATTCTGTGTCTGTCCTGAGTAACAATTCTGTGTCCCTGAGTAACAATTTCTGTGTCCCTGTAGTAACAATTCTGTGTGTCCCTGAGTAACAATTCTGTGTCCCTGAGTAACAATTCTGTGTCCCTGAGTAACAATTCTGTGTCTGTGTCCCTGAGTAACAATTCTGTGTCCCTCAGTAACAATTCTGTGTCCCTCAGTAACAATTCTGTGTCCCTGAGTAACAATTCTGTGTCCCTCTGAGTAACAATTCTGTGTCTGTCCCTGAGTAACAATTCTGTGTCCCTCAGTAACAATTCTGTGTCCCTCCCTCAGTAACAATTCTGTGTCCCCCTGAGTAACAATTCTGTGTCCCTGAGTAACAATTCTGTGTCCCTGAGTAACAATTCTGTGTCCCTGAGTAACAATTCTGTGTCCCTGCTGAGTAACAATTCTGTGTCCCTGAGTAACAATTCTGTGTCCCTGAGTAACAATTCTGTGTCCCTGAGTAACAATTCTGTGTCCCTCAGTAACAATTCTGTGTCCCTCAGTAACAATTCTGTGTCCCTGAGTAACAATTCTGTGTCCCCCTGAGTAACAATTCTGTGTCCCTGAGTAACAATTCTGTGTCCCTGTCCCTAGTAACAATTCTGTGTCCCTCAGTAACAATTCTGTGTCCCTGAGTAACAATTCTGTCCCCTGAGTAACAATTCTGTGTCCCTCAGTAACCTGTGTAGTAACAATTCTGTGTCCCTGAGTAACAATTCTGTGTCCCTGAGTCAGTAACAATTCTGTGTCCCTGTAACCCTCTGTAACCCTGAGTAACATTTCTGTGTCCCTGAGTAACAATTCTGTGTCCCTGAGTAACAATTCTGTGTCCCTGAGTAACAATTCTGTGTCCCTCTGAGTAACAATTCTGTGTCCCTCAGTAACAATTCTGTGTCCCTCAGTAACAATTCTGTGTCCCTGAGTAACAATTCTGTGTGTCCCTGAGTAACAATTCTGTGTCCCTGAGTAACAATTCTGTGTCCCTGAGTAACAATTCTGTGTCCCTGAGTAACAATTCTGTGTCCCTGAGTAACAATTCTGTGTCCCTGAGTAACAATTCTGTGTCCCTCAGTAACAATTCTGTGTCCCTGAGTAACAATTCTGTGTCTGTCCCTGAGTAACAATTCTGTGTCCCTCAGTAACAATTCTGTGTCCCTCAGTAACAATTCTGTGTCTGTCCCTGAGTAACAATTCTGTGTCCCTGAGTAACAATTCTGTGTCTGTGTAACCTCTGTGTCCCTGAGTAACAATTCTGTGTCCCCTGAGTAACAATTCTGTGTCCCTGAGTAACAATTCTGTGTCCCTGAGTAACAATTCTGTGTCCCTGAGTAAACAATTCTGTGTCCCTGAGTAACAATTCTGTGTCCCTGAGTAACAATTCTGTGTCCCTGAGTAACAATTCTGTGTCCCTCAGTAACAATTCTGTGTCCCCTGAGTAACAATTCTGTGTCCCTCTAACAATTCTGTGTCCTCAGTAACAATTCTGTGTCCCTGAGTAACAATTCTGTGTCCCCCTGAGTAACAATTCTGTGTCCCTGAGTAACAATTCTGTGTCCCTGAGTAACAATTCTGTGTCCCTGAGTAACAATTCTGTGTCCCTGAGTAACAATTCTGTGTCCCTCAGTAACAATTCTGTGTCCCTCAGTAACAATTCTGTGTCTGTCCCTGAGTAACAATTCTGTGTCCCTGAGTAACAATTCTGTGTCCCTGAGTAACAATTCTGTGTCCCTGAGTAACAATTCTGTGTCCCTGAGTAACAATTCTGTGTCCCTGAGTAACAATTCTGTGTCCCTCAGTAACAATTCTGTGTCCCTCAGTAACAATTCTGTGTCCCTGAGTAACAATTCTGTGTCCCTGAGTAACAATTCTGTGTCCCTCAGTAACAATTCTGTGTCCCTGAGTAACAATTCTGTGTCTGTCCCTGAGTAACAATTCTGTGTCCCCTCTGAGTAACAAATTCTGTGTCCCTCAGTAACAATTCTGTCCCTCTGTCCCTCTGTAACAATTCTGTGTCCCTGTCCCTGAGTAACAATTCTGTGTCCCTGAGTAACAATTCTGTGTCCCTGAGTAACAATTCTGTGTCCCTGAGTAACAATTCTGTGTCCCTGAGTAACAATTCTGTGTCCCTGAGTAACAATTTCTGTGTCCCTGAGTAACAATTCTGTGTCCCTCAGTAAACAATTCTGTGTCCCTCAGTAACAATTCTGTGTCCCTCAGTAACAATTCTGTGTCTGTCCCTGAGTAACAATTCTGTGTCCCTCAGTAACAATTCTGTGTCCTCAGTAACAATTCTGTGTCCCTGAGTAACAATTCTGTGTCCCTGTCCCTGAGTAACAATTCTGTGTCCCTGAGTAACAATTCTGTGTCCCTGAGTAACAATTCTGTGTCCCTGAGTAACAATTCTGTGTCCCTGAGTAACAATTCTGTGTCCCTGAGTAACAATTCTGTGTCCCTGAGTAACAATTCTGTGTCCCTGAGTAACAATTCTGTGTCCCTCAGTAACAATTCTGTGTCCCTCAGTAACAATTCTGTGTCTGTCCCTGAGTAACAATTCTGTGTCCCTCAGTAACAATTCTGTGTCCCTCAGTAACAATTCTGTGTCCCTCAGTAACAATTCTGTGTCTGTCCCTGAGTAACAATTCTGTGTCCCTGAGTAAACAATTCTGTGTCCCTGAGTAACAATTCTGTGTCCCTCAGTAACAATTCTGTGTCTGTCCCTGAGTAACAATTCTGTGTCCCTCAGTAACAATTCTGTGTCCCTCAGTAACAATTCTGTGTCTGTCCCTGAGTAACAATTCTGTGTCCCTGAGTAACAATTCTGTGTCCCTGAGTAACAATTCTGTGTCCCTGAGTAACAATTCTGTGTCCCTCAGTAACAATTCTGTGTCCCTGAGTAACAATTCTGTGTCCCTCAGTAACAATTCTGTGTCCCTCAGTAACAATTCTGTGTCCCTGAGTAACAATTCTGTGTCCCCTGAGTAACAATTCTGTGTCCCTGAGTAACAGTTCTGTGTCCCTGAGTAACAATTCTGTGTCCCTGAGTATCAATTCTGTGTCCCTCAGTAACAATTCTGTGTCCCTCAGTAACAATTCTGTGTCTGTCCCTGAGTAACAATTCTGTGTCCCTGAGTAACAAGTTCTGTGTCCCTGTAAACAATTCTGTGTCCCTGAGTAACAGTTCTGTGTCCCTGAGTAACAATTCTGTGTCCCTGAGTAACAATTCTGTGTCCCTGAGTAACAATTCTGTGTCCCTCAGTAACAATTCTGTGTCCCTTAGTAACAATTCTGTGTCCCTCAGTAACAATTCTGTGTCCTCAGTAACAATTCTGTGTCTGTCCCTGAGTAACAATTCTGTGTCCTGAGTAACAATTCTGTGTCCCTCAGTAACAATTCTGTGTCCCTCAGTAACAATTCTGTGTCCCTCAGTAACAATTCTGTGTCTGTCCCTGAGTAACAATTCTGTGTCCCTGAGTAACAGTTCTGTGTCCCTGAGTAACAGTTCTGTGTCCCTGAGTAACAGTTCTGTGTCCCTGAGTAACAATTCTGTGTCCCTCAGTAACAATTCTGTGTCTGTCCCTGAGTAACAATTATGTGTCCCTCAGTAACAATTCTGTGTCCCTCAGTAACAATTCTGTGTCTGTCCCTGAGTAACAATTCTGTGTCCCTGAGTAACAATTCTGTGTCCCTGAGTAACAGTTCTGTGTCCCTGAGTAACAATTCTGTGTCCCTGAGTAACAATTCTGTGTCCCTCAGTAACAATTCTGTGTCCCTCAGTAACAATTCTGTGTCTGTCCCTGAGTAACAATTCTGTGTCCCTCAGTAACAATTCTGTGTCCCTCAGTAACAATTCTGTGTCTGTCCCTGAGTAACAACAATTTCTGTGTCCCCTGAGTAACAGTTCTGTGTCCCTGAGTAACAGTTCTGTGTCCCTGAGTATCAATTCTGTGTCCCTCAGTAACAATTCTGTGTCCCTCAGTAACAATTCTGTGTCTGTCCCTGAGTAACAGTTCTGTGTCCCTGAGTAACAGTTCTGTGTCCCTTAGTAACAATTCTGTGTCCCTAAGTAACGAATTCTGTGTCCCTAAAGTAACTGTGGCTGTGTCTAACTCTGTCCCTAATACAGAGAGGTCTGTCTCTCTGAATGACCGGAGGCAAATGGAGAATTTTAAGATGGCCCTCAATTTATAGCTCCACCATTACACAGTGCTGCCTGGCTGGCTGCTGATTGGCTATGCGATCACATGTCATGAATGATTGCATTATGGGTCAGCGCGCCTTCCCAGAGATCCCCGCTCTGTCGCCACACATGTCGCCGCCATTTTTGGAAAAATTCTGTGTCCCTGAGTAACAGTTCTGTGTCCCTGAGTAACAGTTCTGTGTCCCGCTGAGTAACAGTTCTGTGTCCCTCAGTAACAATTCTGTGTCTGTCCCTGAGTAACAATTATGTGTCCCTCAGTAACAATTCTGTGTCCCTCAGTAACAATTCTGTGTCTGTCCCTGAGTAACAGTTCTGTGTCCCTGAGTAACAGTTCTGTATCCCTGAGTATCAATTCTGTGTCCCTCCCGGAATGAGTAACAATTCTGTGTCCCTCAGTAACAATTCTATGTCCCTCAGTAACAATTCTGTGTCTGTCCTCTGAGTAACAATTCTGTGTCCCTCCCAGTAACAATTCTGTGTCCCCCAGTAACAATTCTGTGTCTGTCCTGAGAGTAACAATTCTGTGTCCCTGAGTAACAGTTCTGTGTCCCTGAGAGGTAACAGTTCTGTGTCCCTGAGTAAACAGTTCTGTGTCCTGAGTATCAATTCTGTGTCCCTCAGTAACAATTCTGTGTCCCTCAGTAACAATTCTGTGTCCCTCAGTAACAATTCTGTGTCTGTCCCTGAGTAACAGTTCTGTGTCCCTGAGTAACAGTTCTGTGATTCTGTCCCTAAAGTAACGATTTCTGTGTCCCTAAAGTCTATCTGTGGCCCTAACTCTGTCCCTAATACAGAGAGGGTCTGTCTCTCTTGAATGACCGGAGGCAAATGGAGAATTGTAAGATGGCCGCAATTTATAGCTCCACCATTACACAGTGCTGCCTGGCTGGCTGCTGATTGGCTAATGCGATCACATGTCATTGAATGAATGCATTATGGGTCAGCGCGCCTTCCCAGAGATCCCCGCTCCGTCGCCACACATGTCGCCGCCATTTTTGGAAAAAATTTCGATTCGTGCATCCGAAGTCTGCTCATTTTCGGATTCGGCGCGAATCGAATTTTTTCTAATATTCGAAACTTCCACTTCGCCAAGTTCGATTCGCTCATCTCTAATCTTGATACCAGAGCATGCTGGAAGAACATGGTCATATTATCTGGATTTCCCAAACTCCTTTTCAGGCCCCACACCTCACTTCAGGTTCTCCTGAAGTGTAGCTAGAGCTGCTCGGTTTCAAAGGGGACTTCAATACCGATACTTTCAACCCCTCTTCTGCCCAGGCCAATTTCCAGCGTTCACCACTGTCATACTTTGAATGACAATTGCTTGGTCATGTAATTTTTTCCACACAACTAGAGCTTTCTTTTTGTTGTATTTAATCACCACTGTTTTTTTTATTTTTTTTGTTAAATAAATGAAAAAAGACAGAAAATGTTGAAAAAAAATACACTTTTCTTTGTTTCTGTTAGACAATTTTGAAAATAATCTTTCTTCATAAATTTAGGCCAACATTTATACTGCTACATTTCTTTGGTGGTAATAACCCAAATCAGTATTTAGTCTGTGGGAAAGTTATTGAGTCCACAAACTATGATATCTGAAAATCAATCAATCCTGTTGTACTGATGGCCTATCTCATTTTTTGAGGTCCCAAAATGCCAGGACAGTACAAACATACCCCAAATGACCCCTTTTTGGAAAGTAGACAGTTCAAAATATTTAGTAGGAGGCATGGCAAGTTTTTTCAAGTTACAGTTTTCTGTCACAATTGGAAAACGAAGAAGTTTTGAAAAGATTGCTGTACTGTCGCCAGTGCAGTACAGCGTTATCATAATACTGGTGTGGTCGTGATCATGGACACTGACTGATGACATTATGTAAAAATATTTTTTTTTTCATTTTTTCATTAAAAATTTTTTCTTTTTTTTTTACAATTTTTTTTTTACAAATTGTGGGGAGGTGATCAGGATTTTTTTAACACATTATGATTGCTTATCACAGTGACAATCACTGTGTGATAATTAACCATTTTTTATGAATGTAATCTATTTATTCGGTGTGTACTATTGTGGTTAGTTTTGATTGGCCACACTAGAAGAAATATTAATTGTAACCAAGCAGTACCCCAAAAACATGCCATTTGTCTTGATTCCTTCCTGAAAAATAGAAAAGTAATTCCTGAGTGTGCCTACAGCCTCATAACTGTGTATCTGCTTTGTAAAATCTAAGGCACAGCTCTCTCTGACTACTACTCTCAGGAGATTTGCAGTGAAATTTAGTGATGTCATTACTGTGTTGCCCAGTGTTCAATCTGCTGGAGTCTTTGACATGAGGAAGTAAACCCCTGCATTTACCAAGATGGCTGCCTTCATACAGAGACCCAAAGCAGAACAAGTCATGGTGATTTAGTAATGGGGAAAGACTAGCTTCAGAAAGACCACAGGTCCTATGCCTGCCTCTATAATTCACTCATTGATTAATTGGATCTTTTCTCCAGTTCACTTTGCCCCTGTGAATATGCAGGCATATGAATAGGGCTGGATTCAATGGGTCACTGGTGGAACACAGTTTGAAGAATTTTTATCTTTTTTAGGGACCTCCATTGTAGCTTGTGTTTTTCAAACAATATTTCAAACAAAGGGCAGCAGTTTCAATTGATTTTGACATTCAGTCAGGACCAGAATTATGATTTACTTCTCACTGGTCAGTTTCCAGACCCCTTCTTAGTTCTCTTTAGCAACTGGCATTTTAGGCCCATTACTGATTGCTTTCATAGGATTGTAAATGCATTGCCCGTTCACTTTACCCTTGGACAATTTAGCACACCTAAACTAAACAAAAGTTTTGGTTCTAAGTCTATTTCAATAATGTGACATCTGCTCATAGTGTACTCATAGACTGGTTTTATTTTATCTGGGTGAATCAGGACTTATAGGACTAATGGACGGTTCCCTCCAAGCAATGGCTAGCTTGGAAGCATTGATTTGCCTGCACAGCAATCCTGATTTGCTCAGTGAATTGGTAATGTTGTACACAGGACTATTTACCTGTTCACTTCTGGCATTAGCACTGCCCCCCAAAAGCAAGCCTGCATTTCCTGGGACCTTGAGTCACACTGTAATATCCAGTGGGCATATCCCCAAAGGCAGCAGGTGGTTATGGAGTGAGAGTCCTAGAGCCCTGTGATATCAGCAGTATGGCTAGCTATTATTTTTCTATCCTAATCCATTCTTTCATTTGTTCATTCATACATTCATTCATTTGCTATTCTAATTAGGTACTATATTGGGGGACCTAAAAGGGGCTGCTGCACTTTTTTCATTTTCTAAAGTGGTAAATTCTCCTTTGGACCCCTTTTTACCAGATCACTATTGGGCAAATCAAACATACATGGTGGAAAAAAAATAATGCCCTTTGACATGCAGTATCTGCAAAGTATATTTCCAAAGTCTATACTCAGAGAAAACATTTAACAAAACAAAAAACAACAACAACAATGACAAAAACGGGCAGACTCAATGGATCACTTGGTCTTTTTCTGCGGTCACTTTTCTATGTTTCAAAGTTTAGTCATCTCCAGCATATCCTATTAAGATCACGTAAACACATGTAACTAAGTTCTTCCTTATAAACTTTGTTGAGTATCCCACCCTCCATGATCCAAATGTTCATAAACAGCAGTAACCACACTTTATTAGTCAGTTCATTGAGTCCCTAACACAACCCTGTTAGCATGGACAGAAGAGGTCCATATCACTACTGAGCAATGTTTTTTAAATTTTCTGGCCAATATAAAATCTAATATAAAACCATTGACCTTTAAAAATAATCAATACCTTTAGCATAGACCACCAAGAACAGTGTTGGATTTTTCTCTGTTTCTTTTCAAAAGTCAACCTGAACTTACAGTATATGGGTACACAAAGCTTAAATTGCATTTGCAAAAAAAATCAGACTTTAAAGTTCACACAAAAAGCCATAACATAGAATATCTCTGCTTTAAAGTACTATGCTTTTATTAATAGGAGATGTTGGTGCAACTTTTTGATGCTACAGAGCTATTGAAAAGGTAAGTTATATATACAGTTGTGCTTAAAAGTTTGCATACCCTGACAGAAATCGTGAAATTGTGGCATTGATATTGAAAACATAACTGATCCTAACAACACTGTCTTTTATTTAGGGTAGTGATCATATGAAGCCATTTATTATCAAATAGTTGTTTGACTCCTTTTTAAATCATAATGATAACAGACATCACCCAAATGACCATGATCAAAAGTTTACATACCCTGGAATGTTTGGCCTTGGTACAGACACACAAGGTGACACACACAGGATAAAATTGCAAAAAAAGGTAAATTTTTTACATCTGTGCTTTTTTAAATTGCAATTAGTGGCTGTGTATAAAAAGTCAATGAATTTGTTAGCTTTCAGGTGGATGTAATGAGCAGTCTCAAATACTGAGCCATGGGGAGCAGAAAAGAACTGTCACAAAAATCTGCATAGCAAGGTAATGGAACTTTGTAAAGATGAAAGGATATAAAAAGATATTCAAAGCCTTGAATATGCCAGTTAGTACTGGTCAATCACTTATTAAGAGGTGGAAAATTTGGGATCTCTTGATACCAAGCTAAGGTCAAGTACCCCAAGAAAGATTGCAGCCACAACTGCCAGAAGAATTGTTCAGGATACAAAGAAAAAGCCACAGATAACCCCAAGAGAGATATAGGCTGCTTTGGAAAAAGACGGTGTGGTTGTTTCAAGGAGTACAATACAACAATACTTGAACAAAAATGAGCTGCATGGTGGAGTTTTTTGGCATGATCAGTCATATTTCAATATCAATGTCAAATTTCATGATTTCTGCCAGTATATGCAAACTATTGAGCACAACTCTACATAAAATCAACTAAAAAACTATTGAAAAAAAAAACTGAAAAAAAAAAAAGTGCTCACATGGCTTCTGGACCCGCCAAGTGAATTTCAAGTAGGAAAATCAGAGACACAAGGCATCCATATACAGAGCAGAAGTAGCTGAATATATAATGGGGACATTTTCAACAGTGAATCATGTGGTGTTAAAAAATGCATGTGAAAACCGTGGAAACACATTCCAGTAGCACATTCTATGATATAGCTGAAAAAAAATATATGCCCAAATGTACATCATACACTTAACTAGGTTAGGTAAAGGGCACTGGGATTTCTGAATAGAGTCATTTTGGAGTAGTATCTGCTTATGATCCACTGTAGATATGGTGTGCAACACATTTTTTTTCTAATGGAAGCCAAATTGTACTCCCTTGATTAAGGATACCTTAAAAACAATGCATATTTATATGGTACTCCCATACACAAGAGACTAGTAAAGTGTTGTGCCTCTAATACCTCTACACAACTGGGGATCCTAGCACCTCGGAATACTGGAAATTTAGTACGATGCCAGAATATCTAAAATGCAAGTATCTTTTTAAAAGCCAAGCATGCACAACCCAGCTTTGCATAGTAATGTTCATACTAATGTGCTTAAAGCATACTTAAACCCAAGAAAAATAATAAATAATAATTTAAAAAATATATTGTAGCTTACCATTCATTAGATTCAGTTGCTGTAATTGTTTGATTTTCTAGATGGTTTTCTTCTTTTTTTTTTCACCTGGTGACCCTGCCA